TGCAGTCAGTCAAGACAGTAAAAGTAAAAACAGGCTGGTTTCTACAGCAGGACCTCAAAATCCACCATGAAACACAAGTTGAAGCTCTTGGAGGCTCTCACAGGCCCCTGACCCGACCATCACTGAAGATCTGTGTTCTTAAACAGGCTGCGCCAGCAGGGCAGCTGGGAAATATCTCACAACTCAAAGTGATCTGCAGGAAAAGTGGCTGAAAATGAATCACAAGCTTGTGAAAGCTGTGCTATCTGCCAAAAAGGGGATTCTCTGCATATCCCACAATTACTGTTATTTAACCAAAATATAGTTTTCCATAGATGTCATGCATCTGTTGGACTTTCAAGACTTAGATGTTATACAGTCCTGTATGCTCCACTGTCATAATGGTGTCAGACAGAATTTGGTTCAAGCCACAAGCATCCAGTCCTGCATAAAACAGTCACATTGCCTCTTCACACATTTGGAGATCATCCAAGTTAAACATACAGTACACTGCAACAAAGGTGAAACAAGGTAAGCGAGCAGCTTTAAACCAGTAATCTGCGTCAGCCAGGGTACTGTACCTATGACAGGGTCCACCACCAGCCTCAGTGCCAGAAGACTTTGAAACCCTCGACTAATAATTTACCTGCAAGCTGCACAAAAGAACTGAGAAAAATCAGAATGTAAAGTTCAGCAACATTTTGAGTTACTTGGAATAACTTGTTGCAGGATGCAGCTACATTCAGTTCTTGTGTTTTTTATTTATTTATTTAGTCATTTTAGGGTTTAATCCAGTAGCAGCACAGAAATAACAAAAACTGGAGTTCCTAAAATGTCCTCGTGAGGCCAGATCCAGAAGTGGGTCACTTCAGTTAAAATGCAAAACTTTACATACAAAATGAACACGTTTGCAACCTGATATAAATAGCTGCCTTGGTCTCTACAGCTTGTTTCCTGCTCATGACAACTGAAGTGACATGATTAAATTGTATTAAGGCTTGAAATGTCTGTATATTTAATGGCATGTCCACACTGAGTGACAGGTGGGTATCATCACAGGGCAGTCAGTGGCTCGGAGATGTTCGTAGTTCCACTCACGCTCCTTCTCATTGCTCATTTTTGGGTTCGCTGGAAGTTAAGCTTTCATGATGCTCCCCTCTGGACGTGCTGAGAGACAGCTGTGGACACGTTGGATGTGTAGAACGCATCATTGCTCTTAAAGAGTAATTGCCATGTGAACACAAACTCTGGGCTGCATGTGGGGATCTGCAAAGGTGCCCACTTAGACTTTTGTGGACTTGGGGAGGAGAGGAAATGTGTGTCATGTGGACTGCAGTGGACCCCAACACTGCCCTGATGAGGAGAAAGTCCACCAAACTGGACTTGGACCTGCTCTGTAGGAACCTTATGAAGGGTTTGTCCAGCTTTGTTTACAGTCAATGGTTCTGATGTGTCAAACTTTGTCCCTTTTAATAGGTTTTGCTTTAAATTCAGAAGTCAGTATATAAGAAAAAGAATGAATTTGTAGGGAATTCAACCTTAATGTGATGCATGCTAGAGTGCATATGCAAATAAAGTAAAAAAAATCATCTAAATTATCTGATCAAACAGTTAAGCAAGGATCCACTGAACATTTAATCATTTGTACATTTTTAGGTTCTGAAATTAATAAACATTTCCTACTTTAATATCCTTAAAAAAAAGCCTTTCATCTAATAAAAGGGGATTTTATTGAAGGTTAACAAAAAATAAATAAAAATCAGAGATTTTACAGAACAAAGATCAGCACTGAGCAGTCGACCCTAAACTTTTAAAACTGAATACTTGAAATTGTTATTTATCCTGAAGCATTTAAGTTGGTATGAGTTTAGAACTAATTAACAAATACATTCTAATTTCATTTAAATTTAAATAAATGATCAATTATGTTTATTTATATAATTTAAAAAAAACATTGGTTGAGCGCACGTGCAGACTTTCTCTAAAATCTTTTTTTTTTTTTAATTAATAAATGAAGAAAAAAAATCTTAAAAAATAAAAACGATAGGAATGCAATTAGGATTATCATTAGAATTAATAAAAGTCCTGCAACGCCAACACACAACCCGCTGTAAGCCGGAGCACAGCTTCCTGCCCTGTCGGCATGCACCAGGCCGCCAACAGCAGCCAACCGCCATCGACACACACACACACACACACACACACAAACAAAAAAAAAAACTTGGGAGTTTGTAATAAGGGCGAGGCTTATTTTGTTCGGTTCCTGCCCGTGATTCGGCTCTCTGATTCCCCGTAGCGTTCAGGCGGAGCGCTACAATTGTCAGTCTGCTCAGTGTCTGTCGTGTGTGTGTTTTTTTTTTTGGACGTTTGTTCTCGGCTCCATGTTGAAGTTTTTTGGCGTCCAGAGCTCAGACTGTCGTATCCGCATACACACACACACACACACACAGCTCTCACTCCACACACACACACACACAGACACACAGACACGCGCGGACTCACACAGACTCAGACGAGGCGCGCGCGTACAGTCCTCGCCTGATTTGCACCAGCGCGCGGGTCATTTCAGGTTAAAGCCCGGCGCTGTGTCCCGTTCACTGGAGCCGACGGAGAGCGCACTGGTTCCAGTAGGAGGAATGCACAGGCACTGGGACTCACTGTGATACCTGGACACGACCTGCATATGCGGTATGTTTGATTTTTTTTGTTTTGTTTTGTTTTTGTTGCTTTTTATTTTTTTATTTATTTTTTTTTTAGAGAGAGGGGGGGTGGGGGGTATTTTTTGACAACAGTGCAGCCAATGACAGTCTCTCCAAAAACTAGCTCCTTGACAGTGCTGCAGCTCGGTGGCCATGCATTGCACTAACTGAGCTAAATGTTAATATTTATGTTGAACATGACCAACACAGTGGTTTTTTAATGTCTCATGGAGGGAACCGAGTTTGCCGAACTACATTCAGAATGTGTGCAATTCAACGCGGACTCGCTGATCGTCAGACGGTTCACACCTGGGTGAACATGACTGAGACCGAAACACAATTTTAAGAATCTTTCTGACAGTTCGGTGTACAATTTGGTGAACAAGTGGCACTTTACAACAAAAATATTTAAGCATTACAGCTGGTTAACCCTGTTACCTAACGCCCACGATGGTGTATTTTGTCGGAATGAGACAGCAAGAGTAAAGGAAGAAAAAAAGCAAAAAAGTTTACGTTTCACTCCGTTTCTAGTCCGTTTTTTTGACGCCGAATTGTGCACCGGCTCGTAATAATTTAGAAAGTTCCTCCCAAGTTGTTTTCACGGATTGTTTAATTCAGCAAAAAGCGCGAACGCATTAAATTGGCAGATATTTGGCTCGAGGTTCTGTCAGTACAACAGAACAGCACGTACCCGGGTTAGCTCTTTATCAAGACTTGAAGGAGTTGGTTTATGGGCCCAAGTTATCGTTTCCCTGTAGTTTAAAGAATTATACTGGCTTGTACTAGTCTGGCACGGCTCGCCTCACTTGTGTTTACATTGTGGTGAAGACGCACTGGACATATAGGCACATTTCAGCTTTAACCTTTGCTTTCGTTTTGGGAAACATGGACTTCACTGAAGCGCTCGATCAACATCTGGCGTGCAAAACAAGCGAACCCCCTCCACAGCACGTTAGTGACCTTAATGGTTGGACTTCACACAGGTCTGAGTTGTTCGCTAATGAATGTGTGTCATGAGCACATCATCCGTAAAGTTATTTACTAATAAACTGTCATGTGTCCTTCACGCCTTGCCGTACGTGGCAGTGCGATGGATGACATGTTATCATACGAGCATCAAGTGATGCCTACACGGGCTGTCAGGAAACACAAGCGTGGTCGCGCACAGCAAGGTGACTGGGGGATTGTTTTTCTTCGTCTGGGTGTCTGGATGTGGTTTTGGGAGCGGAGAGCATCGAAATTATGACTGCAACTGGTTTTACAAATTCACTGTTAAATGTATACAACGTTTGTAGAAGCACACAGACCTCTTCAGTGTCATAAATACAGCAAGAATGCATTAACATCTAAAACATATCAATTTTTTAATTTAACTAAAAGAAAATTATAATATTTCGATTCCTTTCCTATCTCTGTTTATTCAGGAGCAGTGGAGATACGTTAACTATACATTGTTGATGGTGATTTAGCAGCACAATGCATGACTATTCACATTTACATCATGCAAAAAGGGAGCTAGTGAAGGCAGCATCAGTTGTCAGCAGAGGGTATTTAAGGTCGTTCGCTCTGCCTGTTTGCTCCTGTTTGTAGGAGCTTGTGTGGACGGCAGTAGCTCACAGAGCCACTCGCATGTTTGCAGCCTACAGTACATGCATTTCTGCATTTGCAGCATGCAGTGGAAGCAGTCTGCAGGGAAGATGGCTGGAAAAGATTAGGTTTAAAGTTATTCCTTTGATGTGTGTGTTGAAACTTGTTCGAATGCTTTCAAGATGGGATTTGGATGCCCCACCCCTGTGATGACAGTTGTCAATTTTACATAGTCTTAACTCCCGGTAGGGAAAAGCAGAGGCATCGTTATATATACAGTGGGTGAGGATGAGCTCAGTGAGTTGATCAAGACAGCTTTGATGTACCGAATAGGTATTGTGCAGATTAAATTTGCTGCATTATTACATGCAACTGATTCAGCTGAGAGATCCACAGTGTTGATTTAATTTAAGAGAGGTAATTTTGATTTGATGCAGTGCAGGGATTGACAGGTATGATGTTGTCATACGTTCATATTCCTCATGGCTTTATGCAAGCACACGAACCACAGCCGTGGTAGCATAATTGATAAAATTAATGGCGTCGTTGTTGTTCTGTGAGCATCGCTGCATGGAACTCTCTCGCACTTTGGAGAAGCACATATGAATCCTGCTGCTGTCTGATGCTGCAGGTATTTAATAAACTCGGTGGAAAGACTCCTGCAACCAGCTAGGAGCAGTAAATTAATGCTTTGTTAAAACCTGGATTACATTTATTATTAGTGAGTCTCACTAATCTGATCTGGTACAAGTTGTGTTTTTGTCACAGTAAAGTTTTTGTAAAATTGTTGGACAAAGCGTATGAAAAGTGTTTTTTGTGGTATTTAGCGTTCAGAATGCATTTTTTGCTCTCTGTGATGTTTGTTGACCAGTTGTTGGCGCTGAAATATGGAAAAGTCTTACCTAAAATTACACAAATCAAAGTACATTATTTGCATGTG